CCCATAGATGCAGGTGTCAGACTACCAACTTCGTCTATAGCTAAACATTTAATCGAGATGAACCATAAGGTTGATGTTAACTCAGCCTTTAAGGTCATCTATAAAAACGGTCAAGGACGTTTACTGAAATACTCTGAGGCTATAGCCATTCATAAACTTAAGACCCCTTGTGTATTCAAAAACAATTTCTTATTACTCCTAACCTACCTTGGTATTCCTTATTTGATTGGATTATCAAACGTTTGTGTTAATTATTCTTAATTCTTTTTTTGTCACTTCGTTTAATTTAACTTTTCCATATATATTTACTTGACAATTAAATGTGTGATCAGATTGTTCGAAATGTATAGCGCAAATACATCATCACATTGTTTTTCAGATAATCTCCGTCTTCTAATAATGCTATCAAAGTTATTTAGGTAGTTATTTTGCTTGAGAGTCTCAGTAATGCACGATATTTCTTCTTCTTTTTTCTTTCTCATCCATTATCAGAGACTGTGCTATTGTACAGCTAAATGAGTAAATTCACCACTGAAACTGGACTCTTCGGTGAACTGTTTGTTCTCATTTTCAATGAGATCAAACAATAAGAAATTCTAAAGTTTTGAACAAAATATTCCAACTATCCACATATTATTATTTGTCTGGACTGATTGTGCATTTCCCATTGATTCATAATAATAATATGGAACTGAAGTGTTTCTCCTCTGTGAAGATACTGGCGTTAGGTATAGCCGCTTTGACTATATTTGTCTGGTGAATTCCTGGATTCTACCGCCAATCATAGTCGACCAGATGACATCATTTGAATTCTCAAACGACGCTGAATCGTAAGTACTTGAGGTCAGACATAGAGACAGAGACTAGTCATCGTGGTCCGGTATAATCCACTGACAGGAAACATGAAACTATCTTTAACTAATAATAATAACTTATATAGTGGTTGCACAAGAGGTGGTTCTGGTTACCCAAGTGACTCAGTGAATAACACTTTGACTTTTGAAATGATGCCTGTTTTTATTCTATTCCCAGCAGGGTTACCATTACTAACCGTAGGGTGATGGTATATGCCGCTGTTGTTCTATATCATAATATAGTCTCAAGTTTAGATAGAGGAGCCAAATATGTTCGGTGTGCCTTCCTTGATTACACATCTGCATTTGACTCTGTTCCTAGGTCTCTCTTGCTAAGTAAGCTTGCTGCAACACAGAGTGAGAGCTGGATAAATAAGTGGTTGTATTCCTACTTTTCTGATAGGAAGCAGTACACTGTCTACAATGGAAAGTCCTCCACTACCTCACTTACTTTAGCTGGTGTTCCTCAAGGTGCTGTTCTTTCTCCTTTTCTGTTTTCTTTTTTCTTACATGACTTGCCCCATTCTGATGTAGCCACTTTTGTCAAGTATGCTGATGACCTCTCTGTCTCCATGCCTGTCAACTCTCAGTCGGATTGTTCCATATTAAATAACTTTCTCTCGAAAATTAGTCAGTGGTCCTCTTCAAACGGTCTTAAGCTGAATCCGTCTAAATGTCAGGTAGTAAATTTCACTTTCAAACGAAAACGTGACCTACAACAACTAGCTAGCTCACATGGTCCCACTATCATTGACGGCATAGAGGTTGAAACTACATCTAATGTCAAGTACCTTGGACTGAGTATTTCCTCTGATCTTTCCTGGTCCTCTCACATCTTGCTAGTTACTAGAAAGATGTTTCGCTTAACGTTCTACGTTAGGAAGTTAAGGCAGTCTGGTATAAAGCAGTCTTTGCTTTCTCAGTTTGTCAATTCTTGTATTCTAACCATCCCTCTTTACTGCTCCCCACTAATCTTCCCTGGACTACTTAAGAAAGACTTTGTTTTGCTTCGTACGGCACTAAAAGCTGTTAGTAGGGGAAGTGGGATATAGTTAAACCAACTGGTTAATACTATATTGTGGATAGACACATAATGTCATGTAAGAAACTAGCGAATACTATATTTTCAGACCCTGAGCATCCTCTCTATACGCAGCTCTCTCCTTGCATTTCATCTGGTAGAACTAGAAGCAACTATAGGAGGCTATATGCCAGGACTACCAAGTACAAGAACTCCACAATACCTTATCTGGCACAGCTGTTATGTGATGAGAAATCCGTTAGGTATGACACGATCAACTTACTGCGGCACTCTAACAAATAGTTCCCATTAGCTTTTGTTCTCCTTTCTTTGTTACTATTATATTGTTGCTCACATATTCTATTACACAATAATTTTATATTTCATATCCTGTGGTGCATTGTTTAAATATGTGAATGCAATGCTGTTCTTTTCTATTTCTTTTATTTATCTTTTTTTCTTTTTGTTGTTGTTGCTTTTTATTTTTAAAATCTTATAAAAATTTATGAGGTAATTAGATGCAATATTGTAATGCACGCTGAAAATTCCATACCTGTACCACAAATAGTGTTTGGAATAAAGCTGTTATTGACAATAACAATAACTAGTGATTGGTGGCAGCGTATACAAACACAAGGATATTCACAAGGCTACATGGGTGTCACCAGATGGGCGAACCGAAAACCAAATTGACTTCATCACAATCTCGAGGAAGTGGCGGCGCAGCCTACTGGACACAAAAGCAAGAAGAGGAGCAGACGTTGGCTCAGACCACTACCTCGTACAAGGAACAATCCAACTCAAATTAAAGGCTTTCAGAGAAACAGGAGCTGCAGATAGACCACAAGCCAAGTTCAACACTCAAAAACTAAAGGACCAGGATACAAAGGATATCTTTACTGCAAGTATAAAGGACAAAGCCGAGACACAAATCAACACTGGTGAAGAGGTCAGCGTCGAAAAACACTGGAACAACCTGAAAACAGTATGGAGCGAAACCTGCATGGAAGTTCTGGGCAGAAAGAAGAGACAGGACAAACCGTGGCTCACTACGGACACTTGGAGGCTAATAGAGGAGAGAAGGATGGTGAAACAAAAAATTCTGCAGTGCACCGACGAGCAACAGAAACAGGAGTTGAATGTAAGCTACAATACACTGAACAAAGGAGTAAAGAAGAGTGCCAGAGAAGACAAAAGAAAGTATTATGAAGCCATGGCCAATGAAGCAGAACAAGCTGCAGGCAAAGGTGACCTCGCAACACTTCACCAAACAACTAGGTACCTTTCAGGCAAAAATTCGTCACAAAATAAGCCAGTGAAGGATGAAAATGGAAAGTCAATCACCAAAGAAGTGGAGCAAAGGAAACACTGGGCTGAACACTTCAAAAGACTACTAAACCGACCGCCACCTACAACGCGCCCAACAATACCAACAACGGAAGCAGAATTACCAGTGAACATCAACCCCCCGACGAAATCAGAAGTCCTGAAGGCAATCAAGATGCTGAAAGCTGGGAAAGCAGCAGGACCAGATGGAATCCCAGCAGAAGCATTGAAAGTCGACCCAGAGACAACAGCAGACCTGATGACGCCACTACTTGAGAAAGTGTGGAAAGAAGGCAAAGTACCCGAGGATTGGAAGAAAGGATACCTATTCAAACTACCAAAGAAAGGAGACTTAAGTCAATGCAAGAACTGGCGCGGAATTATGCTCCTTTCCATCCCAAGCAAAATACTAAGCCGCATCATCCTGGAAAGGATCAAACAAGCCCTGGATGAAAAACTTCGACCAGAACAAGCTGGATTCAGGAGTAACAAGTCATGTATTGATCAAATCGCCACACTACGGATCATCATTGAACAAAGTTTGGAATGGCAGTCACCTCTCTATCTCAACTTCATCGACTTTGAAAAGGCCTTCGACAGCGTAGATCGAGAGGTGATTTGGCAACTACTTCGCTACTACGGGGTGCCGCCGACAATTATACATCTCATCCAACAGTTGTATGACAACGCTGCATGCCAAGTAATCCACAACGGGAAGCTCACGGAATCCTTCGAAGTGAAGACAGGAGTAAGACAGGGTTGCCTACTATCGCCAATGATTTTCCTGATTGCAGTAGACTGGATAATGCGACAAACAGCGGGCAATGAGGAAACAGGCATAAAATGGACTCACACAAAGAACTTGGAGGATCTGGACTTCGCCGATGATATATGCCTGATTTCCCACAAACTGGAAGATATGCAAGTGAAAAGTAACAAGTTGGCAGAAGAAGCATCAAAGATAGGACTCCAGGTGAACATAGAAAAAACAGAGGTGATGAAGATCCCTGGCCAACACCAACAACAACAACAGACAGCAATCAGCATAAATGGAAAAAACCTGAAAGAAACTACCTCCTTTACCTACTTGGGAAGCATTGTTTCAACTACAGGCGGAACTGACGAGGATATCAAAGCAAGGATCGGGAAAGCAAGGCAAGCTTTCATTACTCTGAAGTCTGTGTGGAGGACAACATCATTCAGCGTCAAAAATAAGATCGGGATTTTCAACTCCAATGTGAAGTCAGTACTACTATACGGATCAGAGACTTGGCGTGTCACAAAGAGCACCTCAAACAAGTTACAGACCTTCATTAACAGATGTCTTCGCTCAATACTCAAGATCAGATGGCCGGAAAGGATCAGCAACAAAGATCTCTGGGAGCGAACCAACCAGGAACCCATTGTGAAACAAATAGGCAGGAAAAAATGGAGATGGATTGGCCACACTCTGAGGAAACCAGCAAGTGACATCACTAGACAAGCCCTCGAGTGGAACCCGAAAGGGAAGCGGCGAGTTGGTCGTCCAAGGGTGACCTGGAGGAGATCATGTGAAGAGGAGATGAAAGCATGTGGGCAGACCTGGAGCCAGGTGAAAACTCTAGCAGAGAATCGAACGCAATGGAGACGCATGGCTGAAGCCCTATGTTCCTCTAGGAACTAAAGGAAATAATAATAATAATAATAATAATAATAAAGCTGTTATTATTATTAATATTATCTACACGAAGAATTCACAGCAGACAGTATTGCATTCATGACAGGTAAAAAATAGAGTTTACACCGTAGATTATTTCAACTTACTTGTCTCCATTTTCTAAATTATCAGAATCTGTTCTGCCTTGATTTGTCTCAGTGTCACGTTTGCGGTGATTTGTTGTCATCAAAAGGTATTGAATGTATATAACCAAACTGAGAATAAGCCATGTCAACAGGTATATAAGACATCTGTATAAAACGGTTAGATCCATAAAGTATGGAAATATTTTGGTGGATAGTAGACCAATGGAAATCTCCATTCTAAAGTGAAAAACAAATGTGATCAATATAAAGGGGAAACAATAAATGACTGAGATGAGAAGTTATCTACAGAAAAAGACTCAAATTAACAGTAGACTGGATAATGCGACAAACAGCGGGCAATGAGGAAACAGGCATAAAATGAACTCACACAAAAAACTTTGAGGATCTGGACTTCGCCGATGATATATGTCTGATTTCCCACAAACTGGAAGATATGCAAGTGGTGAAAAGCAACAAGTTGGCAGAAGAAGCATCAAAGGTAGGACTTCAGGTGAACATAGAGAAAACAGAGGTGATGAAGATTCCCGAGCAACACCACCAACAGCAACAGCAACAACAGACAACAATCAGCATAAATGGGAGGAACCTGAAAGAAACAACCTCCTCTAGCTACCTGGGAAGCATCGTTTCAACTACAGGCGGAACTGACGAGGATATCAAAGCAAGACAAGTTTACACTACTCTCTAGTCTGTGTGGAGGTCAACAGCACTCAGCATCAAAAATAAGATCCGGATTTTCAACTCCAATGTGAAGTCAGTCAGTGCTACTATACGGATCAGAGACTTGACCAGCGCGTCATAAAGAGCATCTCAAACAAACTACAGACCTTCATTAACAGTTGTCTTCGCTCAATACTCAAGATCAGATGGCCGGCCAGAAAAGATCAGCAACAGAGATCTCTGGCAATGAGCGAACCAACACAGCAGGAACCAACCGATTGTGAAACAAATATGCAGAAGGAAATGGAGATGGATTCGCCATACTCTGAGAAATCAAACCATCCAGTTAGTGACATCACTAGACAAGCCATTGCTCGAGTGGAACCCGAAAGGAAAGTGGCGAGTTGGTCGTCAGTGCAAGGGTGACATGGGGGAGGTCATGCAGAGAATAGGAGATGAAAGTATGTGGGCAGACATGGAGCCAGGTGTAAACATTGTCAGAGAACCGGACGCAATGGAGACGTGCGGCTGAAGCCCTATGTTCCTCTAGGAATTAAAGGAAACAATATAATATATATTTGTATGTATAATAAGTGCTCGTCAGTAATGCAAATACTGCTCATCCGAACCCCAGCTGGTATACTTCTAAACTTTGACATATTTACTAGCTAATAAGAAGCCTGGAAAACAGGGAAGGATTGGACATGTAAGATCAGCAACTCCTATTTGAGACAGAAAGAGAGAATGATGAAAAGGTTTCTTAACCAGACTTGACACTTCACAAGTAGAGTGTACAGATCATCTATTCTATATTCAAAAAGCCGTTGGCTTAACCTTAACCTTTATGAACACAGTGTTAAGAAGGCGGTAACATTTACACTCTGCTAAACATCACAGGAAAAAGAAATGAGTGATAGTGTAATTTGGCGGTGAGAAACCGATTTCACTTGCATATCTCGGTTACAGCTTTGATCATGAGTTGACACTGGTCAGAGAACTATTAGAAAACCTGGGAATACTAAATAGTTGTTTCGTCCTACTCCGGGTCTCTTCATCGGTGAACGCCCAGCTAGGTTGTAATCTAAGACCATTCAGCCTCTAGAACCCGATCCAATGCTTGACGAAAATCAACTTTTCTCAATTCAAGATATGTATATATCGCAACCTTGAGTCGGTGGCATTGCGGTTAGGACGCTCGCCAACCAGGTATATGGTCCGGGTTCGATTCTCGACCGGCTCACTCCTTTACCTCGCTAAGCCAATAACAAAACTGATAAAGAGGAAAGGTTGGACATGAGGCTAGCAACACCATCCTGTAAAAATAAAAACTGCTACAGAAACTTCAGGCCTCTAGCTTGAAGCCCTATGTTCCACTGGGAACGTGAAGGATTAAAAAAATATAGCGCTACCGCCAGCCAATGTTGTATCTTACCAGACTTGGTAGAACCCAATAGTCACGACTTTCTACTATCTCTCCTGATAACTTTCTATTTAGAGCCTGCATGAGATTAAATAATATATGCTGGATTCAGGGACTTGGTTAGTTGCAGTTTTCATCACGAGGTAACATCAGTTAGAGGACCATTGGAGAACGCGAGGGGAGTACTGGACATACGTTTCGTTTTATATAAGTATAAAACTTGGGCACTGTAGTAGAGCATAAATCTATTATGGATAAGATTTTATTTTGATAAATCACACAGTGTTGTACAGTAATATTAACTGATGAGGTTTCGAGCATAAACTATTGCTCATAATCATATCAAGTTTCGTTTAACTTTAGGATTGTAAATTGTTGTACATCTTATGTCAACTAGAGGTATAGATTAGTGAGTTGGTAATGGCCATCACTGGTATTCAAGAAGCACATTTACCTCTTTTTTAATGGAATTCATCAGATGTACGAATCTACATTTTATGTGAGTATGGATCATCCGCATGGGTTTCAAATCTGGCACCCATTGATCCAAACGGTCAAATTTTAGCCACTAAACCAATGAGATTACAAGAGACACTTCATCAAAAAACATTCTCAAGAAGTAATAGTCACTGTACTCACATTTAACTGGATGGTTAGACTCACTAGTTGGTCACTGATGTTACATCTTATTAAGTGAGAATTATCGTTTCATGGAAAGTTTTTTGGTCAAGTTAAACTTTAATTACTGAAGGAATGCTACCGAACCAGTGACTTCAAAACACTCGGTCAGTAAATTAGTGAAACCAAATAAATAAGGCTATCACTATGGATAGAATATGATTATTCAAGTGTTGAGATATTGGGTAGGTATAATTTTAGATTCGGGGGAGATTAAGTTAGGGTGTAGACTGAAGACACATTGGAGTTATTTCAAGTTAGACTGTGGCTAGTGCAAGGAGAGTCTTGCGTCACGGATAGGTGGTGCTATTTTCTACCTCTTGATTGGTTGGAGGATTTCATCATGCTCTGACATCAGTTAGAGAACCATTGGAAAACCTGGGAGTACTGGACAATCAGTTGTTTCCTCCTCGTTTGGGGCTCTTCATCAAGCCTACGAACCCACCACAGGGGTTCAAACCCTGGTACAGTACTCCCAGGTTTTCTACTGGTTCTCTAACTGATGTCAGCTCATGATGAAATCCTCCAAAAAATCAAACAATAATCCCTACAAGACCAATACTTGAAAATTAATCTGATGCTCACTAGCGATTGGCCCCATTCAGGTAGTTAACCTGAGGTTCTAGTGGGAAGCTGTGACCAGTAGGGTCCAGCAGGTTGAAGGTGGGGCAGTAACTCATCGAAGAAGACATTACTAAGTGGTTGTGCCATGTCATGAATTGGCAGAAGTTAGAATTCATGTGCCAGCCATTGGATCGGGTCCCAGCGGCTTAATTGTCTACGAGGCCGCTATGTATCCGGAAATTCCTGGGTTCGAACCCCTGTGGTGGGTTCCTACGGATGAAGAGTCCCAAACTAGGACGTAGGAAACAACTGTCCACTACCCGCAGGTTTTCCAACGGCTCTGTAACCCATACCAGCTGACGATGAAATCCTGTAACCTATTCGTATTTTAATTAGACGAATATTCTTGTGATTAGGTCATAACGTTTTTATCTACCAGTTTACACTTATGCTTCAAAGCACACACACTAAAAGAACAGAAAGGAGGTTTGTTGACCACATTTCTAAACACATTTTCACCAACTCGAGACTAAATAGTTCTCAGGTATCTTCTGTTGCACACTGACCATTTTGTGGACAATATGAAGGCATTCCAAATATTTGACAGACCAACTGAAACCATCTTACCACATTTTCCCAGGACAGTCAATATCCATCTTGTACCATATCCAGGTTACAGGCGATAAACACAGACCACACTCCACTACTGGGACGGAATCGAATGGATCATGTATTCTAACCTCTACCAAGTTGCGATAATATAGTGCAAATGCCAACTAATGTCGTCCGTAAGAATATTACCTCATATTTATATTGACTCACTTCTAGCTTAAAGATATGGAGTGAAGTGATTGGTGGAGCGTATTGACCACTTCGCTTATTTGAGAAGTTGCATCAGCCAAAGCCAGTGGTTTGATAACTGACGAAATCTGAGCGTGGATACAGATGGCTAGCTTGTCATATGCCAACTCATGTCATCTCTCCCATAATACACATGATATCCGGATGGCTAACGCCCAGAGGGCGTGTGTACTGCTCAGTAGTTCACTCTGTACTCCTTTATCGCTGGCAGTGAGACATGGTCATTGAAAGTGATTGATATGAAAAGACTAGGTGCCTTTGATCGAATGTGTCTGCGTTCTATCTCCCATGTTAAGTGGTATAATAAATTGAGGAATATATAGGTTAGGTATCGATCAAGTGCTAGGTAGGGAGGGGAAATCAATCGATTGAGAGAGATGGTTAGGACATGTGTTATGCATACATGCCTGGCTATTGCCTTGCTCAGCAATGGGCAATGTTAGCTGACATACGATAAATCACCAGTCAATGAAATCCACAAAAGTCAGTTTAAGCCAGCCATCCAGCCAACCATGTAGGGAAGTATAGACTTCCTGACTGGTCGGGGTCCTCAGAATGGGGAACACTAATGAAGGCTGGAGACAGTTGATGATATGGCTGGCTCAAAATCCTTCTCAATGGCTGGAGCAGATGCATTCACTCTTTGCGGTTTGTCAAATCTAATAAAACTCTATTGCTCTTCCATTTGACTATTCTTTTTGCCTCATACTTCTGTTTATTATCTCTGTTTTGAATGTCTCTTTACTCTCTTCTCTTGATTTGTGTGCTGCAAGGAGGGAGTGTAGCAACTGAAAAGGTTGTGATGTGGTTGTGTTCTCCGAGCTGGATAGTTAATTTAGTTAAAATTTAAATTTTAAATTTAGTTAAAATACACAAGCCAAATATCCCGTTACGACCAACTGTATCACTACCAGGAACTCCAACATACAATTTATCCGAAGAATTATACAGAAAACTAAAACACCTAACGGAATCTTGTGATCACTCAATCAACTCCGCTATCCAATTCCTAGAGAAAAACAGAGGTATCCA